GACAGGTTTCTTTTTGTACTTTACACAGTGACAACAAATTATCATGTCCAAATCTAACACAATATCTTCGTTGATCTGCACTAAAATAACACATCACTATCGCTGCCCAATTTTGATTTAACCATTCTTCTTGCATTGAGTAATTAGCTTCTTTCAATGTTTTTTTAAACGCTGGTGCCTTTGATACATTAATTAATGGTGGTAAACTATTAACTGATCCTGCACTACTGCCCGTTGGTCCACTTGAAGATTTACTTTGTGCGTTCCCTTTAAGAAGATTTTGTATTGTCCTTCCTTTAAATATGGATTCTGATTCCGCATTAACCAAAATATACGAAACTTTAAAGTCATCAATTATTCCGCATAACGAAGGAATATCTTCATTAATTCTTTCATTCTCTATTTTATTCATAGGTATTGCCACAATACCAAGTATCATACATGCATAAACGCTAGCAATGAAATCTATTCCGTGTTGAAATATTAATACTGCATGATCTCCTGCTTTGCAACCTTTTTTCTGCTGTAAATAATTTACTATTGTGGCAATTTTGATTGATAGTTTTTTCCATGTAAGAACTTTAATTTCTTTTCCTGTTTTATCTATTGTTTTGTAAGCTTCTTCTTCTGGAGACGCTTGACATCTCCAAAATAGGACATCGACTATACTACGAAACTTTAACATGTTGGTTCCGGTACGTTCATCTATAACTTCTTGAGGATTTTCTACTCTTGTTACTTGTGGGCGACGTATTGCTGACAACTCTTTAGTAAGCTCTTGTCTAGCTGTTGAAGAACCTAATGACATTTGGAAGAATTTATATGTAGTACAATGAATATTAACAAAAGGTGAACTTTCTTGTTGTTCTTTAATAGAACCTATGTCGCTTACTTGGTCCCCAAACTCCAGTAATAACATCCTCTCCAATTGGAAGATCAATAATAGTATCCACAGCATTCATTCTAACATGCATGACATTTAATTTTCCAAACTCAAATGCTTTCTTACATAACATGGAATTCAATAATTTTTTACCATTTTTCCAAAGTCTTGGTAGTGACCCTAATTGACATAGTGATACACAATATAATTTTAAACCATGAATTGATTCGATAGCTCCAAATATGTTGTCACCAAGTTCTGGAAGACGTTCAAGAGAAAAATTTGTTTCTGCCAGTAAGACCGTAAGACTTTGTTCATTAATATATATTTCTGTAATGATGCTATATGTGCAAAATGTATATGTTAGTAAATTTCAAAACTGAATTTAATTGAAATATAATAATAATAATAATAATAATAATAATAATAATAATAATAATAATAATAATAATAATAATAATAATAATACT